TTTGTCGCTATACATTTTATCTTAAATATTTCATACTTGTAAATAAAACAATTTTTTCTGTATTAATATTATATTAATGTTACATTAAGCTTTATTTATAATAATATTTTCTTTCCAAGTTTTTTCCAATAATTCTATAATTAGTCATAATGGTTATTTTCTATAATAGGTATTCAATGGTAATTAAAATGTTTACTGAATCATGCTTACGTATATTGCCTCTGCCTGTTGCAGGCAATAAATTATTCTCGTCATACGTATAATGACTTATTGGACTTCTCAAAATTACAGAAAACAGGAAGAGCGTAAATATTACCTTTCACAATTGGTACGATGTTGGTATATTACGAAACACTAATGTAAAGAATAATGCAGAACGTTCGTTTTCTAGCCAAATTAATGTTTCTTACAATAGCTAACGAATCTGATATTATACCCATCATTTTGATTTTTATGTTTACAATATAAATTCTAATTCCATTTGTAATGGTTAGTCCGTCGATTATTTTCAATTTCCAAAACTATCAAATTAACCTGTCGCGTATTTTTTTTAACGCAAAAATTTGATTTTCAGATTTTAACTGTGCGTGGGTTAATTTATTATTTGACCGTGTCGAAAGTTACAACGCACAGTTACAACGCACAGAATAGAAACCGAATCTTGAAGCCACGTTACATTCCTACGAAAATTCTACGTTCCTGCTCTTCAAGATATTTATCTTGCTGCGACGAATAAATCCATAATAACGATTGAAAAAAAAGCCTACAAGGCTAGAGTACATTCGAATTAACAATAAGTCAAGTCGTAGCGTATCGCGTTTGTACGAAGAAAAGAATTCTAAAGAGTCAACTCCTATGAAAATTATATAAAAAGATAGATATTTTAAAATAGCAGAAACAGTGATAATAGGTAGTGACAGCAGTAATAAGAATCGGCTTTAGTTTTTAATTTGTTAACTATACAAAGAAAGATAAAGAATCGATTTATATAAACTAACTTTGTAACGAGAATTAATCTGAATAAATTTGTATATTTAATAAAAATTTGTGATGGAATTAGATAACCGAGGTTATATAAATATCTCGTATCAGACAGAGTTCGGAGAACTATCGATTCCTGTTTTTTATCGGAAATCGATTAAGTACGATTTTTACTCAATAGTTATAACCCTTTTCGATCAATAATTTCAGGAATCAAAGAGAAAAAAAAAATATAGGAACCCTCTGATGATCATTTTACGTCTCGCACGGCTTTTGCAATGAAAAAACACGTTTCAAATTTCAAGTTTATGGAAATTCTTGAGGAAGTGTAGCGGAAGCCGAACGAAACCGAGAACTGCCGAAGGGCGCTGAATCATTCGATGCGTTAGGACTGTGATTACCGATGTCGCCATCGCGTTGTCTGTCGCTGGAATTTTAGTTCGCGACGTTCGTCCAGTGAAACGTGGTCGTTCGACGCTTGTGTGTCTTTCTTGTTGACTGTGTACTCTCTCGACAGCGATATAGAACGTGTCGAATACCGAGCAATGAGTAATCGTGATAGATCTACGTGTTGAGGTTAAATTGCAGTTGAAAAATAATCGTTCGATATCGGCTGCGCTCGTGTGAACGGGCTATGTATCGGTTTTGCGTGTTTTCTCGAGGTCATCGTCGGACTTTGACAGACGCTGATATGTCACGGCTAAGCGTGATATTATTCGTACTAGGTGTTTGGAGTCTTATTGGCACGGTAAGTTGTCGCAAAGTCAAAGTCTCACGAATATCATGTACAAATAATTCATCGTCTATACCACACCCTGGTGTCGTGAAACTAAGGATCGCGTTCGTGACGTCACCTCGGCTTAGCCTCGAAAATACCGTTGATGCCGCCGCCGATGCATTCGTCCAAAGAAGTCTATTAAATTTAATTATATCATTGCCTTATACGCCAAGGGGACATATTAACCGATATCACTTGAACTTTATTTGTCGAGATGAGATCTGCATATTTTTTTCTTTAACTCGTTGAACTCGATCTTTCCGCTTATAAAAGATTGACGTCGTGGTTTTTGTTTATGTAAACTTTTGATAAAATGTTTCTACGTTCCGTGAAAAAGATATATATATATATATATATA